TGACAGTGATTGGAGGAATGGTTATTTAAAGATGAGAAGTGTTGATCTGCCAACTTGTGAGTGCGAGTACAGGTAACGTTATTTCGAGAAAGCTGTGGTGACAAAGTGAGTGCCTCTGTTTCAATGAAACGGGGTCAACAAAGAGAAAGAGAGACGGAAAGAGATCTGGTGCTTTCTGTTTTCATCTAGCGAACAAATGTACTTTGACATCTCTAGGAGAAACTGTTACTGTGCCTTCACAGAGTGCGATGGAAAATGGCCCTACTTTTTCCTCTTTTTTTTTTTTAATGAGATGGGTCAGGGAATATGACAAAGCTTCAGGGCATTCAGTCTAGTGGGAGGAGTAGGTGGAAGGAAATAGGGTTACAAAAAACAGAGAGGATGGCCTTTTGGGTCAAGTGCTTTTCATGTTAATAATTTAGTGTTTGAAAAAAAAAATCTTAATCAATTAATATCTGTACGAAGGGCCCAAGTGGAAGACATGTCATTTCAAATGAAGCTTCATGTTAAAGAGGCCTTATTATGCCGATTGGGGTTTTCCATTTTGTTTATTGTGTTTTATACGTTGTTGTGCATGGTCTGCAAAGGCTCCTTTGTTTACTTCCATTACATAGTGACATCACTTTGTAACACTTAGGCTTGTATTGGCTAGCGCTCCAACACATTATACATGATGGACTAAGGGGCGGGACGTCTCTAAGCGAGTGACCAATGACAACCAGGAAGCCAACCAATCAGAGCAGACTGGGCTCTGGTTCCAGACAGAGGGTGAAAAGAGGTGCTGCAACACAGGCAGTATGATAAAAATAAAGACTTTATTAAACATTAAAGCATGTAAACATGTCACAGTACAAGCACAAAATAAAAATATGGACCTGAAAATGAACATGTGTCCTCTTTAGCAGATAGTTGTTATGGATTTAATTCTGTTTCACCCCATCATAGTTTTAAGAAAGGGTAGTGTACTTTGGCTTTTGAATATATTGAAGTGAACGGAGGAGTCATTACTGTTCAACTCGAACAGAAAGGGCCTCCAGTTTTACATTAGAAGTTCTGAATGTCCCTTAACAGTGTGATGTCATAGATGAGTACAGTCACGACTGTCTCCCCTCAGGCTCTGGGGGAGTATTTCCTGACCCTAATATCTCAGGATTGTAGGAAGAGTGCAGGATAGTACAGGATATCCTTTCCTTTGCAGCAGAGCTTCCAGATAAGGTACCTATTACGATCATGTTTTGCTGAACACAATGTTATACACCCAGGTGGGCATTATTGCATGCATGTGTACAAATGCAATCATATTAGCAAGCTGCACCCCAATAGCTGTGGACAGTCTATAGATTCATGCAGTGAAATATGTGCAGTGCATCTAGGGATGTTTCTACGGTGCGTTAATTGGATATTTGCCCTGTAGGTTTTGAACGAACAGTACTAAATTGGTTTTTGCTATGGCTCATCATTATGTAGTGAATTTCCATTGCATAATGTAATGGCTATATATAATAAAAACACTATCAGCAGTTTGATGGTCCCTATGGTATCCCATCTCCTCAGAGAATGAATGCTGGATTAATGGCAAAAAGGAAGTGCGTCAACAATTACACAACCAAAACAGGAAAAGGATGGCACTTTAGTTTTAATGGCCGACAGGTGGAATTACTAAAGGAACATTTAAAAACATGTTGGTGTTAGTTGCTAAGCTCTGTTGACAACAGAAAGAGACCTGGATGTTTGAACTACAGTAGTTGCCTGTTTCCACGTCATAACTTGTGAATAATTGATTTGGAATAAATCACATCCTGGCAGTGTGCACTGCAGGGGGGGGGGGGGGTGGGGGGGTGTAACCTGCACAGGCATGCTAAGAAACATGTGTTAAACCACCTGTTTCAGACTTTATTCAGTGATGGCTTCCTGTTCGCTTTGGGCCACTGAGCATTTGGTTTAGCCTTTGCATGGGGTGTTTGGACCCCATTATACTTGTCATGTAAGTCTTGTTTTACAATGCACTTGGTGAAGTCTTACCGAGATGAAAAACAAAGAAACATGTATTTTGTTTCATCCAAGCAAACTGCTGTGTCATTCAAACATATTTGATGAAGTTTTACAAATTCTCGCTAGAGTGTTCAATTGTTGGTCTGTTTTGTTTTGTGTTTGGTCAAATGTGTTCATTCCTTTCTCCTTTCATATAAGAAGGTACAGTTAGATCCATGCTATTAGTGATTGAAGCAATACACACAATGTGAGGGTTGGAACTATAGTTAGTGAGAGTGAAGCGCACAGTGACAGCTTTGATTGGAATGTATTTGAAGCCATATCCAATAATAGAAAGTATAGTTGTGTCATATGGCCTTTTCATGCACTCAGATTCTTTATTTCAGGTTTGTCTATGCTATCTGGACAGATTAGGGTTATAATAGCAATTGTTATACATTGTCAAAGATATTTATGGGATCTGATCTGAACAAGTCTGCAACCCATACACATCATCATGACATATGCTGTCTTCAGTAACTGTCAAGAGTTTTGAGAGGATTAGAAGGAAGGGGGCGTTGTAGATCTGTTCTGGTCAAACAGAGATCATGCACTCTTTTGTTTAAACTATATTATGAACCTGTGCACTAGATCCATCAGCTGAGCGGATAAATGAATCACCCCGTCCTCTGAGACCTACCTGACGCTTCAGATGTTGTTAGCTCATGGCTGTCACATTGAGCAGATACGACTGTGTAGGGGAACGAGACCTTGCAAAGTATTCAAGGAGAGAGAAAATGTGAAAACAAGTGATCTCAACGGATTTTCAAGGACGCCTTACTTCATTTTGCTTCTTAACTGTTCAGCTCTTCTCATTAGCATCTTTTTCTAAATGTCTTGTATGATTGTGCAGTGAGTCACAGGAGAGGACCTTCAAAAACAGAGTGGCAGGGAGAGAAGCGCTCCATGAGGACGGAAAGTAAAACATATAAACAGTACTGTTAAAACCCTGTTTGAGTCAAAGTACCTTTCGATTATGATGATACACGCAAAACGTACATATTGTAGTACAGCTGTTTTCTGTTGTTTATGACCCTTATGCTAATGCCATTTCCACTATAATACAATGAAACATTCAACTGAATTGACTGATTCAGCACTGCCTCATAAACCAATCACGGAGATGTTTCGGCTGTTTCTGTTCACTGTGTCAGCACTTCATATTTTGTGGCCCGATCATTCTCACTGAAGCGATGTAGGGCTGACACGGTTTGAAAAGGAAGGGACGAGGGGACGGGGGGGGGAGCATGTTTAGGCGATAAGGATAACATAAGGACTAAAAATGCTTAGAAGGAGAAATCATTTGAAATGATAAAACACTGAGAATCAGTGTCAACAAATATGTTCCCTCACAAAACCCACTGCCTGGGGTAACGGCTTCTCAAATGCTGGGCGCTATAGTTTGCTTTACTTCTCTGCTTGCTAGAAAAGGTATTAAGTATAAAACAGATAAAAGGAATATGAAACTTCAAATGGACTCCAGCCCTCTCTGCACTTTTGCGTCTAGCTTATTCTGCATTACTGTCGGTCTTTACTGGGTGTGGTTGTAGTGTCAGGCCAAGTCATCGTGGCAGGAAAACTCTGCTGTTTACTGGCATCCTGTTGGCTAAAATCATGGTGGTATTCTTATGTAGACAAACACATATGTTAACACAAAGGGAAATATCGAGTCATGTTCACATTTAGTACGATAAGTCGTTACACGTACAAATGATCAAGGTTAAGTCCATATATCGTACAATTAGCTTATTAATGTAAACACAATCATGTCAACATATAGTAGTATGTAAGTCAAATAAAGTACAATATTATCAAAGTATTTCCATTTATCGTGCGAAAGGCTGATAACAGAAAACAAATATTGAGGTCATGTCTTTATGCTGACAATAAGCCGATTAATCCAAACACTGTCAAGGTCTTGTCAGTTACGATAAGTCAATAAAGAGATCATTTCTATATACTGAATATACCAATAAGCTGATCAATTATAGAACTATCAACGATGTATCCATATATCGTACGATAAGGTGGTAACATAAAAACAATCAAGGTCTTGTCCATAAACGGTTCTGTAAGCCAATAAATGGTAACACTATTATCTTGTCCATATATAGTAGGATAAGTTGATTAAAGTTATTTAGGTAATGCCGATATATCGTAAGCTGATAACGTAAAAATGATCGAGGTCATATCCATATATTGTGCGATAAGCCGATTATGTAAACACTATCGGTCATGTCGTTATAAAGTAAGATAAGTAGAGAATGCAATTATCTTTACAGTCCTAATGACGTGTTTATGAACAATGGCCCTTAGATGAATACTATGCTGTACATATGCTTATCTGTGTGCTCATACATAACACAGTGTGTCTGAATTCCTCTTCTCTTGGTTGCAGTGTCTGTGGGTACTTGGCCTCTGTGAATGGATAATGGATAAGTTGTGTGAATATGAAAGTGAGCTTAGTGTTATCTGCACATGGAGGGGAGTTCATATACATAGCTGTTTACATGTCTACAGCATGTACTGTAATCATGTCAATGATGCACAGTCTGCTTTTCCCATTCCTTTCGAGTCTAGAAATTATCTTGGATGAATGCATTTTCCTTGTGTTGTTTCTCAAGCATAACAGGAGAGTAGCTGGTCTTTACTCTCTGTTACACATACACCCTCTGGACAGCAAGAACAGATTTAAATGTTTCATCAATGTTGTTCAACATGTGCAAAGAATGCATAATGCAAATATATCGGTTGGTCTTTTAACTAGGAATATTTAAAACACGTGTGTGGGTGAAATAGTTTCGTTTGTATACACAATTCTATGGTACCGTGTATGCCCCTAAGGTTATGGAAAAGTAAAGGTGATTTCTCTCCACTCTATCTCTTTATGCTACTTGGCACAAATGAAAGTGCATTCAAATTCCAGTGGTTGCATGTTAGTGACTCGACTTTTTCCTTTGTTTCCTCAGGTCCTCCAGTCATCGTAGGAATGAGCATCAACATTGCGAGCATCGACTCCATCTCAGAAGTAAACATGGTGAGTTACAAACACTTTCGTCTTACGATCCCGCACTGGCTTCCCACCCAGAAAACAATCTGGTTATTGGTCTGAAGGATTCAACCAGGCTGAGGATACTGCTACAGAGTTTCTGTGGAGATAGGAAGGACTTTAGACATATTTCCACTAAATGAAAATAAATATTGCAATGTACTGAACTACTGAAAAATTGCTCATAGATGACGTCATCTTGTCTCTTGGCACTCTCCTTATTTCACTCAGCGTGACTTCACCTATATGGCGATCAAGCCCAAGTTTAAAAAATATATATATATTTTTCATACGTTAAGTGTTCTCCTTTTGCGATTAAAAGTTAAAAATCCATAGCAGTCTTTGTTCTTAATGTGTTTGTGATCTGCTTGAGATGACATGTTCTTGTATGACTCTGAATCATGAGTCTTAAGCGGTAACACTTGATAAGTTGTATGTATATTTGATTCTTAATTCATTTTAATGAGGCTTTTAAAAATTGCTCTAATGGGAAAAAAGAAGACAAAATATGAATGTTTGTAATGATGCTCTTTTAAAAACGATGTAAAATAAAGTTTTAGATTAGAGCTCCTTTCATTGAATATGCATTTTAAAAACGGCTCATTTTAATGACATTTATGAGCGAGGGGGTTGATTGAGTAGTTTATCAGTTGTATGGTTGAGTGCGTATTAAGACCTGTGTGTTCATTCACTTCATCATGATGGATACTTCTCAATACGAAATACTTTGCTTCATTAATTACAAAGCAGGATGTAAGGGATCCTGACGGTCCCATCATGCATCATGCTCAAACACATGAAGCTAGGCGAACATGCAATTTAAAAAATGATTGGAGATAAATGGCACACAATATTTCAAACCATTGGACTGTGTAGGTTGAAAATGAAGCCCATGGGCCTTTCTCATTTCACTAATTTCCCCTCCTCGACTCCTATCCTCGTGTCTTAGTCCCGCCCACAGGAGATGCGAGCGGAGGAGTCGAGGAGGGGAACCGAGGAGAGAGGAGGGGAAGCAGCAGGCGGTTAGAGAAATGAGAACTCCTCTCCTCTGAGCGGTCATTTTAAAGAGACGTCCATTAATGATGACAGGAGGCACAGCAGCCCTCTGTCTGATGGACAGATGTGTTCATGACGACTTATATATTTACTTTTAATTCATTCACAGTGCGGCATAATGAGACAATAACAGGCTACAGATGCAGACACACACACACATATATATATATATAGGTATATATACAATTTCAGAATCAAACAAGTATGAGAGCACTCACAGCATAATAACGTAACACTATCAGAGACTGGATATATCTCCCCCCCCCTCTCTGGTCGCTACTATGGGGAAATGAAATTACGGGCCAAAAGTTTTATTTACAAATATTAAAAGTAAGCATAGGACACCAAACCAAGTGAGACCTGTCTGTCCACCGCATCTACACACACACACACACACACACACACACACACACACACACACACACACACACACACACACACACACACACACACACACACGCACACGCACACACACACACACACACACACACACACACACACACACACTGTACCACACGCACCTACACACTGTACCACACACACCTACAGCTCCTAAAGCATATAATATCAGGCTACAGCCATTGTGTATTTTATTATGTGAAGCACTAAATGGTTTTAGACAAATATCGACTCTTTGTTTGTAGATATCTACTAAACTACAGCATACAAATACAGAGAGTAATGTAGGCCTGTTATACTGAGTGATATATATTATACACACTGCTCTGCTTTCTGCACGGACATCACAGCTGTTCTCTCTGTAAACATTGCGTCGCGATGAAAGCAGTTAATAAAATAATATCCAGGGGATGCATGCAGAGCTGTCATTGGCTGAGATAAGTCCGGCCGTGCGTCACGACTCTTTGAAACATCTCTGTTCCCGGAAATGCATCCGCGGAGGACCCATCAGTGTATCCTCGGTTATAGCTCCTCCAGAGAGCCTCCTCGACGCTCGATCCTCGGTCCTCGATGTGCATTTAGAGAAATTAGATGTCCTTCAACATGGCGCACTAAAATCCATTTCCGGGTCACTACCGGAGGACCGAGGAGTCGAGGAGTCGAGGAGGGGAAATTAGAGGAATAAGAAAGGCCCTTTGTCAGTTAGAAACAGTGTAACACAGGAGCACTAGCACAGCAGTATTTATTGGTTTGATGCCCATGTTCTATTTTACAAATCCGGAGCAGTTCGCTTTTCTGATTGCGTAAAAAGACAAAAACAATGTTCATGTTCTGAGAGCATAACAACAGTTTTGTAGTGCCCTTGTAGCAGATGCTTTCTGCTTTTATTGCTGTGGTGGCCTTATCGCAAGTGCTTATTCCTCTCTTTGTCCTTCATTTAATTACATTGTGGTAAACCACTGAATCGACATCTTCATGTCAGCTTAAACTCTGCACATTGTTCTTGTTCCCTACATGACTTAGTGTATCATCTGGTAATTGTGATTTTAAGGCTGAAGTAATAACTTCTACGTTCATGCGTCATTACGTTTGTTAAACCATGCCCACTATAAAGGGTTCACTCAAACCATGCACTGGAAGCAAACAATAAGACACAAAGAAAAGCACTTTTTGCTCAATTCTTTCATTAGCTTATGGCCTTGTGTTCATCTGAACGGTTATTATGATTTTGTTTTCCTTCTCCCCAGGACTACACCATCACAATGTATTTCCAGCAGAGCTGGCGGGACAAGCGTCTGGCCTACACTGAGATGAAGCTGAACCTGACTCTGGACAACCGTGTAGCAGACCAGCTGTGGCTCCCTGACACCTACTTCCTTAACGACAAGAAGTCCTTTCTTCATGGGGTGACAGTGAAGAACCGTATGATCCGACTGCACCCAGATGGCACTGTCCTCTACGGGCTGAGGTAAGAACGCTGGAGACGCTGTTCATTTTCTTATCGTAACCATCAGCATTTGTGGATTGAGGCTAATCAATTCAATACTTTGTTTCTTCCTGTTTTGGTTTGTATGTGTACTCTGTGATCCTAAACTGGTACTACTGTAGTACTAGATGTATTTTGAGATTTTGAACATTTACTGTGGTGTCAAAATGTGTGTAGCCAAAACATTTATTTGTAATCACAATCACAATTTAAGCACAAACGGACAGATGTGCAGCTCAAAAGTCAGTACTGTTGAGTAAACGGATTCATCACCACGTGATAAATGTTCATTCTTAATGCATGGCTGCAGGTTTGAACTTTTTTTTTTTAAATGTACGACGTAACAAATAAATAGGATTGTTTGACGCTTCACAAAGTAATCAGAGCGCTGAGAAAAGATGAGGTCAGCTAAACTTTGAGTTGTAGCACGTCCTGCAGCGACAATTGTTGGACGTTGGTTTGTCCCTTACGGTCACCGGCGGTCTGAACGCACAGTGAAGTGTTTTACAGGTTAGAATCACTTATTTAGTCAGCTATTTTGACCCTCCATTTTAAGGCCCTTCCTCCACTCTGTTAATATTGCAGTCCGAAGACAAATCAGGTCAGGTTAACCGTGAGTATGACTCTGCCGTTACTAGCGATAGCTTGAAAACATAGTAAAGGGACTTTCTCTGCCGGTTGCACTGTGCATGCTGGCAGTTCCCCAGAAAAAAAGAGGATGGTATGGTATAGGGAAGAGATGGATGGATTATTCATGTCCTTTTAAACTTTTCGAAAGATTTAATAATGCAAGGAGATGATGTCTCAGGAGAAAATATTGAGATACAGCAAAAAAATCCACTCATGCTGGGCTAGGCTTTACCCCTCTGTGACCCCAAACAGCATCACTAGTATTTGGAAATCTAGAGCAAGAGCAAACACTTAAATATGAGACCAGAGCAAACGGAAGCACTTATGGGAAGGAGGAGTGATATTTGCCCACAGTAGACTGCTGAACACCCAGAGAGCCTCGTGATGACTTTAATTAGAGAACTGCTGCCTTTATCATTTGCCTTTGTCATGTGGCAGTTATACAGCAAGTGAAAATGTTGATAACCTCCGAAGAAACAAGATCACCCTGCTATTATTTTGGCAGAATGAACTAGACAGATGTATTTTTGGCAAGAAAAACAGCCTTTAAAGCTTTATTTATAAAGTAAATAGTCTACAAAGTGTGACTCAGGACAAACAATAACAATATTTCAGAAGGAGAGGGGTGCATTAAAACCCAAGATTCTTTGTCCCAGAAACGCTAAAAAAAGGTTCAAAATACTCACCACCAAAATGTCCCAGATCACTGCGACAAACTAGACAATTCAGTCAACAGTAAATGTGCACACAGGGACCCATTCCAAATCCCCCGGGGGCGGCTAAAAGTACGAAAGCGTCCCGAGGTTTGTTCAAGCTCAGAACGGGTCGCTGCTTTTCTTAACCCAAGTCGTTAAAAAAAAAGCAGTTTGATGGAGGCAAAGGAGCAGGGAAGGTGTGTTGTTCCATAAAGAAAAGAAAATGGCAGTGATAGGGTGTATAGATCATATGAAGTAATGAATTATTAATGCAATAATCACTATTCAGAAACTCTGAATTACTGAATTGGTGCTGACACAAAAGGAGATTTGATTTTTTTTCCTTTTATGACTCTTAACAACTTTGTAGAAATGCAATCTCACTGCTGCTGAAGGCCGTGCTGCACATGTCTGCCTGCTGGATGAATCTTTGAGCTTTTGTTCATTACCCTTCATGCCAATCGCACATGGGCCTGGCAATGTACAAGTGCAATCTTGGTGCAGCCCTGAGAAGGGTCTGGAGCGGGATGAATATATATCATTTGTCAGAGAAGTACGTCAGCAGGTACCATCGGGGTCTGCTTCAATAAAGACCAATCAAACCCCCTTCTGTCTTCCCCCTTCTGTCTTCCCCCTTCTGCTGCTGCTGCTGAATGTCTACTGAACTCAAACAGAAGGACCTCCCCACACAGTTGCAGATAACAAGACGTTGTGCTAATTTGGCATTAATCAATTATTAAAATGTATTTTAAATGTGTACCAGATGAAAAACGTCCAATACGTGTGCCTCCACTAAATAAAGCAGGTGAAAACTGGTTCAATGTTACACCATTTGGTGCCAAAATGATACCGTGCCAATGTATGTGAATAATCATGCCCATCTGCTTCTCTCATCGTTCGTACCTCATGCACATCCGGGATCCTTTGGAGCCACAAAAGTACGAAGCTGGCGCCGCACAAGCATAGTGAAATTACACCTGCATTTGCACCTCTGCTGGCTTAGTGCCTGCATTACAATCAGAGAGCTAAGGCTGTTGCTAGGGACACCAGCCTCCTCCAACATCTCATCTTCAAGCTGAACAGGGGTTTACGGTTACCATCACCCACTGCAGTAATGGTGAAATCCAGATGGTGTCAGCCCTTGAATCTGTCCTCCAGACCATTTTTATTTAGCCGTGTACAATAATTAGAAGCAGTGAATAATCTACATGCCATGGTGTGTTTGGGACCTTTAAAAGCCTCCTCTAAGCATGCAATTAAATTACTTTGTGAAAATGTTCGACTTTGCCCAAGGGTTGTGTAGACATTTCCTTTTTCCAGAGAACAAAAGATGTAACTTTCACAACAGATGTTGCGTTCTCAGTTCAATTCATTTGAATGCAGCGCCTCTCAAGTTTGACCGCTTGAGGTTTTTTGTTGTCTTAAATGCAATTTCTTGTAAAGACCTCCTGTTTGTATCCATCCCCTGTGCCACTGTTGAGCACAATAGGATGCAAACTGTGGACAATCACATTACACACCCCGCTGCACCTAGCCGCTCTCTGTGAAATGTGCTGATACTTGTGTTTGGCTTGGTTTTTCAAAACCTTTATTTACTGGATTCTTATTGCTTTTAGTGGTTTTAATGTCAGATCTACTCATTTGTGTGGATTAATCACAAGCTCTGATTCAGAAGTAGATCCACTGATCTTGTATTGAGCAATAAATGCGGCATTCGCTGTACCTGCAGTTTTTATTCTGTGGACAAACCAAGCAGGTCGCGTATTTGTTTTTACCAGGTTTGTTTTATTTTCCTACTTAAGAAAGGTACATGTATGATGAACAGGATTATTGAATAGATGCTACGTATAGTCGGATTAAAAAAAGAGAGCAAACATTTAGTATTTCACAAATACAAATCAAAACTACACATTAAAGAATTACTGTCAAATGATGAACTCGGTTTATAGTGGTCCTTATTGTGGAATTTTCCAAACTGTTACGCATTGAAAGTGGATCTGGGAATACAAAAATGTAAATTTCCAGCCAGTGGCTATTTCTAAGAAAAGTCAAATTGTATAGAAGTCTATGAGAATATGACCGTACTTCCTTTTATATCATTTAACAAGAACAAAGAAACATCCAAAATGTTTAGATCAAAATAAATGTTCTTCCTGTTAACCCTTCATCTCCCTCAGATGTATCTTTTGACCCTTTTAGAAGGGTCTGACTCCAAGGCAGGGTAGCGCTGGATCGAACTGCTTTAATGCATATAAAGTCCTTCAAACTAGCTCCACCACAAAAGTAAAAAGCTGAAAAACCGTTGGGACATTTGTTGCAAAACAAGTTCTTATATGTTTGATCTTTAAGAACATTTTTCTGACACTACATTTGTACTGTACCTTTGAACTTTTAGTTGTAATGGAGCATATTTACATCCGGGTATCAAATAGATTGGAAATTTGAACCATAGTTCATGAATGTGCATTTGCCTGCCCATAATTCCTTTCCCTAGGAGTCACTTTAAACTGCGATAATCAAATGGAGTTACCACACTGCACTGTAGGTCCAACATTCAAATCAAATCAGGGAAACTGCCCACAATCGTGTTCCTTGAGTAAATGTTGCTTTTGCAAGCATTGCTCAATTTGTTATTTTTGTAAACTTGAGATACACTATAGATTTTCGAATCATGTGTAGAGGAAGGGTCTGAAGACTGCTGAGTGGTGCAGGAGAGCGTATGGGTGTAGCAACAAAGTCATTTGAAACATCAATCAAAGAAGTGTGTGTCAGTAGAAAGTGTCCAGGCCTGTGTGCATGATCACTCAGCTTTTCTTTTTCTAACTTCATCGTAAGCACACTGACAATTGAGCGCAGATTCCTAAGACCATTGAAGCCTTGTCCTGATTATGATTTATTTCTTCCCATCTTGTGTTCCTCTGTTTATTAAACCATGGTGTAGTACTATGATCTCCTTTGGTAAGCAAACTGCCTCACAGATAAGGATACAGGAGTAGACTGTGTAGGTGTCAAAACTATTGCTCATATATCTGAAAGCCTCTTGTCTGTAGTGCTGAGCCTCTGGGATCCTCCTCCAGATTGCTTTTAGTCGTCACGTATGCTGGCACGATACATGGTCTGAAAAGACAAGACTGGCCTTTAGAAGTGAGTGGAATGCACCTTGTTGTGGATTCAAATATGTTTTACTTCCTCAGACGCTACACCTACTAGTAAGCTCTTAGCTTTGGTTTAGCATATGCATTTTTAATGACATTTAACAAGTCACATTTGCAGCAGTGATTCTGGATAATGAGGTGCTGTGGGTTAGGGGTTCCCCTGCCCTTCACACACAAAATGTCAATCAAAGGGACACACATTGACCAGGAAAATATACAACACAACCAAAAAAAAGACACAAAATGACTACAAAGAGACAACAACAACAACAATCAAACCAAAAACAGCCATAAAGCAACTGAAAACCCAAGAAATTACAGTAAGAACTAGCAGAAAGAAAACGCACACAAATGACAACAACGAGACACAAAATGATACAGCATCAGAATCAGAATCAGAATACCTTCATTCGTCCCACAGAGGGGACATTTACATTTGTTACAGCAGAAAAGAGCCAAAGACAGCTTCATGTTAACTAAGAATCATGCATAAAAAACTAAACTGTTGTATGTCTGTGCTAAGAGACCCATTCTCTCGTAATCCGTCCATGCTTAGTGATAATTACAAAGCAATACAAACCAGCTAATATTGTGTATGGTGTGTAGAGTGAGCAGTGAGTGGGGGGGTGCAGCGCTCAGGTCTGAGGCTGCTGCTCTCTCCCTGGACAGGAAGTTGCTGACCTACATCTGCTGACATTTCCAAATCCCAGGCCCTCGCTGTGAGCCGTCCCAACTTGTGCCTACTCAATGAAGATTCTCTCCTGACTTGTTAACTGTCACATATGAAGTCAACTTTATTCGTCCTAGGTTATTCCCCCTCTCTCTGCCAGGGGGTGAAATATTCATTCCTGTCCCTTACTCGGAGCTGCTGCCGGTTTCACTGCTGCGCTGTGCTGCCAGGGGTTCTGTCTGTCTCTAACAGCAGTAGCTGAGTCTGTCAGGACTCGTCTTCCTGTGTATGATCTCACAGGATACCGGAGTTTGTGCCGCTTTAGGTTTCAGACCGCAGGTTTTTTGTCTCTCCATATTTTAGTTTGTTCCATTTTGTCACTGCGTGATGTTTTGGTTTTACGTCTACTTCATTTTTTGGAGCCAAGGCCTTTTGGTAGATTTGTAAAAAGGCTGTGGTTATAATGTGTTAGAACTATGTTTTTATAGTTCAGTGGTCTTCAGACATATGGGCTTATATAATTAGGCGTACAAATGTAATTTCTCAATCAATTTCTGAATGTAAAAGAAGGGTTAAGTAGTGCAACTAATGCTTATTGTCATTATCAATTATTCTGCAGATTCATTTCTCAATCAATAATTTATTTGTTTGGTTTATGTAATGTGAGGAAATAGTGAAAAACGTCTATTTCAAGTGATCTTTTTAACTCATGTATTGGTTTAATAAACAGAGGAAAACATTTTTAAATGTCTTATTTCATCAGTCCAAAACCCATCGATACAAAAGTCTCCTTATTTGAGAGGCAGAGAACAACATTTTCTGACATCCTCGCACAAAAGATCTTCCACAGATTATATGAAAATAGTTTGCGATAATTTTTTCGACTATTTCATAAATCGACTTATCGTAGCAGCTCTAGGTCCTTCATAAAGACATACAGATCTATTGCTAAAATTAGAACCATGACATTTTCACATTAGAGATTTCTGTGTATATTTCTTTGTCTGCACAGTAGCTCTCTTAACTCTATTTGTATCAAACTGCCGATAATCGCTCCTAATCTCCCTCCATCTAATTATGGAAAAGACATTCTGCAGTTTTTTTCCCTGGAAAATCATGATTTCCAAGTGACCTCCCCTATTATTGTAATAAAGCAGGATGTTGCCTCCTCGCAGTGTGTGAGGAGCAGCCCTGCTGTACGCTGAGCGCAGAGGCAGCGGGGGGGTGCAGTACAGTAGAGCGGAGCACAATGCAGTGTGAGCAGCTTAATGCTTGTGCAGCAGAATGCAGCTCAGTGTCATTGTGAATAATAAATAAATACCTGACACATTTTGTTTATGTATTATTTTCTTCACCCTTCTGCTATCATGGAGCTAGAGGCCCCACATGCTTGTGTGTTAATCTGGCCCAATCAGCTTTAGCAGGACATATTTTGTTTTCCAATTACCCGCCGACAGCACTCTGTTCACCCACCATGACCAATTTACAAACCCAAGCAATATATTTCCAATGCAAACGGCTTATTATCTACTGTATTACTAATTCTACTGTAGATGCTTGTTTGCTGCATCGACGTTCAGACACACACTGAAGCGGCATTAGAAGATATGGCTTTAACATGATTGATAATGTAACCAAATGTGAAGATAAAAAAACACTCATCAGGCTCCTGTGTCAGAAGCCACTGGCACGTTCTCGGGGGAGCGTGCCGGTGGCTTCTGACACCGAGATGATGAGCTGAAAATTAATTTTTGTATTTCATTTACACAGGAGGGCAGCAAGCTAGTATGATGAACACATAGCAGCTGGTTCAAACAGCAGAGATGTAATTACTAAAATGTGCTGCAGCGGTTAATATTTCAGTTATATGCCAGAGACCCCTACATGTGTAATTTGTAGCCAAAGCTGTTTTTCCTGGGCTACTGGATTTATTGATATTAATAAACTGCAATGCATACATATTTTCCAAAGCTACCTGGCAGAAATGCATATCTTGGAACGAGCAATAAATAACGTGCATTGACAAAACCGCAGATGCTGAGCAGTTAGTGATCCATATAAAAGGAAATACTTCTCCAGACTACTCACAGAAACATGAAGAATAAATCATATTTAAGAGTCTCTGCATGAAGAGGAAAAATACTGCAGAAACTCCCCTCAAAAAGATTTGTATTTAGGAGAGCAACGGTTTTCCACAAGTACACAGGCAGTGCCCAGCTCCCATGACCCTGAACTACACCGTTACATACATTCAAACCCACTTCTGTTTTATTATGAAACATCGTATTAGCTGTGAGTGCTGCAGCTTCAAGATAATTACTCTGCAACTGTATTTAGTGATGGACATACTGGTAGTTCATCATATTGTTCAAGTACATTACATAGGATTCAAACTAAGGACAACAAGAATAGTGCTGATAACTTTACTTCAAACAAGCAATATCATTGTAAGTGGTAGTGCATAAGCACAAATCTTAAGTGCGTTTTTTTGTTTTTTGTGATTCTTCGCCAAGGTAGAAACTAAACAGGTGGGTCTTCAGTTTGCGACGGAAGATATGTAGACTCTCCGCTGTCCTGATATCAGTGGGAAGCTCGTTCCACCATTTGGGAGCCAGGATAGCAAACAGGCGTGTCTTTGTTGACGTGTACCTGGTTCCACTTCGGAGTGAGGTAGTAGCAAGCCGATTGGCCAATGCAGAACGAAGTGCACATGCTGGAGCGTATGGTTTGACCATGTCTTGGATGTAGGATGGAGCAGATCCCTTTACAGCATGGTAGGCCAGGGGGCTGAGCACACGTCCTTGGGGGGCCCCCTTGAAGCTTGTTCTGGCAGCCACTGGTACATCTCTCAAACACCATGACTTTTCTCTCAACCATTTCTTTCACTTGTAGGAAAACATTACGTACAACTCGTGTGTATCCACATCTTTAGAATATAACTGAAATATTTTCTGTGTTTCTGTCTGTTTTTCATAGAATAACCACCACCGCTGCATGCATGATGGATCTGAGGAGGTACCCTCTTGATGAACAGAACTGCACCCTGGAGATTGAAAGCTGTGAGTATTTTTTTACTTTACTCCCTTTAATACTAAACTTACAGCAACCTTCAAACACATTTCCTGAGCATTGTTTGTACCAGGTTATCTTAAAGGGGCCCTATTGTGATTCCCTTTCCTGTAGTGTGTTATATAGGTTTCTGTGCATGTAAATGGTCTGCAAAGGTTAAAATCCCCAAATTCCCTACGGAGGAAGTTTCTCAAAATACAATTATGAAACCTGAAAATTAGCAGAATAGAGCCCCTTTAATATTGTCACATTTGTACCTCTAAAAGCGAATATACTACTTAGTGCTTTCTTGCTGTAAATACATTTGTGTGATATATTTTCAAGGGTTCATTAGTGAGCTATTTCGCATCTTTGCCCATATGTACCATTTGTCTGACATCTCCATTGATGATTGTCTTGAGGGATAGTGAAGAAATCACAGTGCCTGCTGATGCACATTGACACTGGTGAAGGCTAAGTGATAGCATTTATATTAGGGACCTGACTTCACCCTCAAAATGGCTGTTATCCCGTACCATGACATACGTGTCATGCTAATGTTGAATAAATACCCCAACATCCACAAAAATCATTTCCCTGAATAATTTGCACATGCAACACGTATGAATGTGACAAGGAAGTCATAATTAATTATTGGCTAAGTGTCATTTAGCACCAGATTAATCAGGGGTGATTCATTAAGGACGTGGAGTATGTAGATAACCAGATAAATAGTTCAATAACACACAGTATGCACTAATTTATCATCATACACCATTGATCTTAAAGGAGATTTTTGGAAATAATTGTATCTGCTTTCTTGTAAAAAGGGAAATAATAACAACACAACAACAAATAGTCTGGATTAAACAAACAAATGGGTTTATATCAGTGTTGGGAAGGTATATTTTTTAAATGTACGGATTGCTTGCTGCCTTATTATTATGAATATCGTATAGTAACTATTTCAATAACTTATAAGAAGTAATGTAACTTGATAATATTTCTAATAAATGTTTTAGCCTATCATCCTGAATTAATATTGGAACAGAGCAACAGAATGTTACATTTGGCTTTTCAAGGGTAACTCAGTTACTGTAACTGATTACATTGAATATTTGTCATGTATTAACCTAACTCTAGCTATTCCCTAACACTGTTAATAATGAGGTAAGGAGGTTCTAGTAGGTGTGTATTGTTCCCTTTGGGCAGAGCCATGCTAGCTGTTTCCCCTTGTTTCCACTCTTTATGCTAAGCTAAGCTAACCGTCTCCTGGTTGGAGCTTCATATGTACCGTACAGATATGAGAGTGCTATTAATCGCCTTGGCTAACTTTTAACTAGAAAGCACACAAGCCTGATTCTAAAAGTGTCTAAAAATCATTTTAATTCAGAGTTGATATAATTATATTCCTGATTTATTTCAACATAAAACAGGAAACTATTTTCACACGTAGAGTAGTAGTATATTCTCCACAGGTAACTCCTTTATTTTTAGATTTCTGTATGTATAACACATGTAGACATTTTGACAATAAAGCTGACGTTGACTTTGATATGTAAAAATAAAATAAAGAAAACTAGAAGAATTAAAAACAATGTGGAACATGCACAGATATTGCCGTCTGCATGTGTATCTGTAAAATAAATAATCAGGTATGTACATAAAAATTAGTAAAAATGCAAACTTGCCTGATATCACACAATATCATTTAATTGACTTTTCATGTCTTTTTTTCTCCGAATGCATTCATTTAGATAAATCAATATCCAGGAGAAAAAATGTGCTTGTGTTGTAATTTAAAATGGTATTTGCGTGATCATTTTCATCGACCACTCCATCAGTCAACCCTCTTGCTCAATACAGCAGATATTTGTGGTTCTCGTTGTTCCAGATTGTTTATCCTCGGGGACATCAGTAGGCAATGAAATATGGATATGCCGTGAATTAAAAAGTTGCAGGAATATCTGCTGTTGGTGCTCGTGCTCTGCTCTGCACTGGTTGGAGTCATGCACATTAACCATCACTGTGATTGATTAGGCAGGCAGTTGTTTCAATTTCATGGACAATGTCACATTTCCTTAGCCTATAACCTCAGAGGGAGATTTAATGGTAATGAATCCTGGTCCCTTAGTGAGTTTAATGCCATCCAGGTCTGGGCGCGGGGGGGGAGATGTGAAATGTAGTAACACTTCCCGCACTGAGGAATTGCTCTGCAGTGAATGCATACTGGCCTATTGACATAAATCTTCTGCTGTGGTCACTTTCAATTGCACTGCCAGTTGAGAATGTGTGGGAGCGCCATACCAAGTGACACATGTTAATAAATATTCATGCAGGTAGTAATGCATGCAGTGATTTAAAGCTCCATAGGAGTCTGGACAGTTGAGCATGTGATAGCAGATTTAAGTCCTGGGTGGGATTGTTTTCCACTCAAAGAGGTCTTTTGTTTTACTGGAGGAAGCATTTCTCTTCCAACCGCATCTCATCCCATCTTCTAACTGCCATACAAAATGAACCTTTAGGATTCATTTTATAAAGCTGTGATTTCTTCTTTGTTATTTTAAGCAGAAACATTTTAAATCCCGATTGGAAAGTCTTTTGAAGCATTTTCCATGATGCCAATATCTATCTATTATTATCTATTTAACATACTTATAATGCAATATAATCTAGTTATCATTTTAACAACTTTTAATTGTTTCGTAACACATTATTGAGCATTTTATAATGAATATTAGTTCAAGTTTCATATTATTTTATACATGCTGGTTATTCCCCAACATTTTAGATTTATTATTCTTTTCATTTGACTTAAAACAAACAATGACCACAAAAATGAATAATAACCAGCTTTTGATGAATTATACCTGTGTTATTATACCTCAGGAAAGTAATGCATTATAACAAGATTATAATGTATAACTACTATTGGAATTATAATCAAATAAGATCACTGCAAAAAATGTCAATGAGTTACAATTCTGTGTAGTATGATTCTTGACTTTATCAGTCATAATAAAATGCTTGATAATGTGTTGTGATTAATCATTGTAATGCATTTTATCTATGTTTATGATGCGTTATACACATGGGCGCAATAGAAACTATTTTATTCCAACAAACAAGTTGTATTATTTGTATTCATTGTTGATCTTATTGGAAATCTTCAATAATTAAATTAGTGATCAGGTAAATACAGGGTGATGGTAATACAATTATTGGCAATAATGAGTCAACCAAGCATAATGTAATCCCAATGACAGCGTGGACATTGACAAATCTCACTGTCATTGCTGCTGTGCAACTCATGGCCAAAGGGTACATTGAAATGTATAGGGAATACCAATTTTAAAATAAAGCTATAACTCACAATATGTGCTGTTGGCCCATTTTTATGTATATCTTATGTGTTTTTCATTGCTATTGTCCAAAATAAAAGAAAATGGGTAGCAAAAAAATATATTGTATTGAGTCCTTTAATAGAGGGTATACTTTTGTAATACTTATATGTTCTGGTTTGGGGTTAATTTGGGGTTAAGATACCACAACTGAGTCACTGTAAGAACATACATAGAAATATACAAGTAGAAAAAAATGTGTACTTGGTAAGAGCGACTTTTAGTGGTTATTGTTTAACAGACTTTAAATAGAAACGTGTTTATCTCTCTTCCCCCCTCTCTTCTCCTGCCCTTTCCTTGACACAGACGGATACACCACAGATGACATCGTATTCTTCTGGCAGGGAGGGGACACCGCTGTGACGGGCGTTGACAAGTTGGAGTTACCCCAGTTCTCCATTGTGGAGCTCCGCTTGGTGTCCAGGGAGGTCGAGTTTACTACAGGTGAGGAGACAAACATGCTTCTAATTGGGCTGCAGGTGTCAACCGCCTTCACCAAATGATTGCTACATTGTCTATAAACACCTCTCCAACTGCTGCGAGTTCTGCGTGAGCACATCCGTAAGCACGTCACTGTCCCCACAGGAAGTATGATTATATGTGAGTCGTGCAGGAACTAATTTCCTTTTTCGATGCATAACAGATTGTAGGTGGTCATCTCAGCTTTCTTATAACATGTGCACTTATTTCTAACTACAGTCATTTACTCTGGCATATTTCATCTTCAGTGATTCAATTGGAATCAGACCTTCAGTTAAATACTCTGTGACGCATGCAATAACACACAGTAAATACTGTAGATATGTCCTACTGACATTCTACCTGCAATATTGCACCTTGCACTGCATACTTCAGACATACCGTAAAATAATGTAATGGTTTTATTTTTCTCGCCAAATATTATCAATTGAGCAGAAGCTTCTTAAACTTGTTTCTGTCTAAAAGAAATACCCTATAAATTAAATTAAGTCTCTAATGAAAGGAAACTTTCTTTATATGATATGAATGACACTTGTGAAGAATAAAACATCTCATTACAAGTGTCATTGAAATATTTAAATAAAACATTTCAATACAAATTAAATGAAATTGTAAGGAAATGTAAAAAAATGCTATTATTGATAGCCATTATTAATTATAAACATACTCAATGTAGAAAACAGGGCTGTTTATGAATCCAGTCCTTGGATGATGATGGATTCTCACAGCTGGAAGGCTTAATGTATAATGTTTGTTTATGTTTTTCTGCTTTAAATGCAAGAAAATGGCGAAAAACGTCTTCTCTTCTCTCCTCTTCATTTGGTAAACTAATCCAAAAGTTACAGAACGTAATCATGTTACATTTATGGGCTTCGATTTGTCTCATCATTATTTGTGTGAACATAAAAATAATGTGTGTGTAAATATGTGATTTGTAAATGTAAAACACCATCCACAAATGCATTTAAAAGATTTGCAAACTCACAAATACATTTGCAAATGTAAAACGGATCTGCAAATAAGCTAAATATTTTTGCAAATAAAAAAAAGATCTTTGAATATCTCTTTAACATTTACAACTTTCGATCAGGCATTTGTGAATCCATTTTGTATTTGTCGACCAAAAATGCGCTCGTGGATCTCACATTTATTTTGTGTTAGTTTATTGGTTCAATACAGCATTGAACTGTAATGCTGTATTGAACCAATAAACTAACACAAAATAACTGTATCACTATAACATGATGATGGTGATGGTGATGGTGATGGTGATGGTGATAAAGAATGCATCTAACGTTCCGCTGTTCATTATAATACAAAAACAGAGCGTTAAACAAACCATCATGCTCTTACTTTGAAAACCATGCGGAAATGTCGTCATCAGCCGACCATCACGTGGTTTCCGAAAATAACCGAGTGACACGAGTAGATTTTAGCCGAGACCAGAGGAAAGTTTGTCTCAAAACTCTGTGTGTGTAAAAAGACGATCCACAAGCAGAGATTTGAGATCCGCAAGCGCATTTTTGGTCGACAAATACAAAATGGATTCACAAATGCCTGATCGAAAGTTGTAAATGTTAAAGAGATATTCAAAGACCTTTTTTTTTATTTGTACAAATGTTCAGCGTATTTGCAGATCCGTTTTACATTTGCACATTTATTTGTGAGTTTGCAAATCTTTTAAATGCATTTGTGGATGGTGTTATACATTTACAAATCACATATTTACACACAAATAATTTTTATGTTCACACAAATAATGATGAGACAAATCTAAGCCCATAGACATTACTTTAATATTGTGAGACTTTGATTAGGATACATTTCTTTACACGTATTGAGTAAATGAATCGGAATACATTTTCAAATGTATACTCCCTACCCTGCTTTTACTTCTATATAGGATTCTCTGGCACGTATCAAAAAGGCACACAGATTTAAAACAAGCTCAAATGTAAAATAAAGCCCAATACAACAAGAAAAAGTGATAGAAAAGCTCTGTGTGAATGTGTCAGTAATCTAATTTCAGTTCCACCAAATCGTCCAAGTCCAAGCGTTACCCTCACGTTTGACTTTAATGAAACCCGTGAACATTTGTCGCCTCCATTAATCTAGGATGTACTTGGGTGATCTAAGCCACTTGTCTCAGGTTTGATGAAGTATGTATGCTAAGGTATTGATTCATTAAAAGATTTACAGGAACCTGGAGATGATGAGGTCATTCATCATTGTGCGTTCCCCACAGCAAATCGCCTTTTAGATTAAAACCATCACGCTTATCTGAGAACTTTTTTTTTCCGTCGGTGACATATTGGAAATAAAAGTGTAAATGGAATACAAAGAAGGGAATTTAACTATATTTAGAGCAATTTGTATTGTTTCCAGCCTCGTAAATATGTAGTTAGAGCTGAAGCAGATGGAGCCTGCCTTGATGTTTATATTGCTGTTTGCCTCAGCATTGTATTGTTCCGCGTGTTTAAATTAAAGTGCAGTCAAAAGAGCAATTAACGTCTTGGCGCTAGCTGCTGATATTCTTCCTGTTCACTGGAATGAGTTACCACCTACTGTATATTTTCCTTCCTTTTCTTAGTGTAAAGGCATGCGTTGCAATTATGCGCCTCTAAAATGCCCTTTTGTTAATGTTTGGAGGACAGAGAAAGTGCGAAAGGAAGGCCGAGCAGCGCTCTGTGACAATTCTCAGAGGGATGCTGAGCTGCCTGCTGAGATAGGGGGTTGCAGAAAAATCTGCCTCGTTTGCGACTTTCTGCCATGTTTAATTGGAATCGAACTTGTCCCTGGAAAGGAATCCGTCGCTTTGGGGAAATTAAGTGCTCCATCTGAACAAATGGAGAAATGACTACCCTGCGCGTTGTCAAAGTGCAGACTTTGGAACTCCTAAGTTGTGCCAGCGACCCCTCCCTCCCACTTCTCTATTCTCTCCTTTTTGTCAATGATTTCACTCTGTCCCTGCCCTTTTTTCCAAACTCTCCCTCCATCCTTTCCCCTTACAGGTTCATACCCGAGGCTCTCGCTGAGTTTCAAGATTAAGAGGAACATTGGATATTTCATCCTGCAGACGTACATGCCCTCAATCTTGATCACCATCCTCTCCTGGGTCTCCTTCTGGATCAATTATGATGCCTCTGCAGCTCGGGTGGCCCTGGGTAAGACACAGCCACGCTGCATTATTAAAGTCCCAACTGTTAAACCCAGTGATATAACAGCAACTAAGAGCATGGGGCTGTCACATGTTCGACGTTGTTGTGCACATTGTCTGCACTTACTGGCACGTGGAACTTTGTTCAAATCAACTAGTGCTGTTTAAACACGGACTGCAGGAATAATGACGTCCTGATGTCTAAATATGGACTGATGAGTAATATTGAGAGCACTTACAGCATTATATCAGTGAGCCAGACAGACATGCTTACTCATAATAAAACAAATGTGTCCTAATTAAAGCAGAACACAGAACATCACATGATCTAACGAAACTTAATGACACTATCCCTGCTTTTGTGATGTTATTGACATTACAGACATTTTCTGCAGTGTGTTATGTAGGTTTTTTGTTCATGTAAATGGTCTGCAAAGGCAAATATCACAACGTTTCCTCCAGCCCAAAATTGCAATTTAAATTAGTGGCTCTGTATTATAAAAGAATAAGTATTTTGATAATTAGATAATACTGAACTGGTATAATCATTGAATATTTAAAATATCTAGGGCGTTTAATGCTCCTTGACAGTGAGTTTCACTTGAGTATCCAATGCACTGTATTTACTCTGGATTTAGAATTCACATCCAAAACGTAACATCGTCTCACAAAATATGATGTTTTAGATGAGACAGTATATAAAGTAGTTACAATGAACTGCTTCTTACCAGCCACAGAATGTTGGTCATGTTTATTTTGACCAAAATAATTCACAATAACTGACATTTCAGCAGTATTTAAAGATCAAGTCAAATGTCTAGCTAACTTTATTTTTCATGTTGTCTCTTTTATATCAAATGAATAACACTCATGTGTGTAGTGGGGGGAGATAAAGCAGGAACAGAACAGGAAATTGTAATTGTATGTGTTTTATCAACAAAATATCAATATTTAAATGTATAATTCTAACAGTCATCGTCTAAAACAGTGTATCTTGCCACCCCTAATCTGAAACCCTCTCACTGTACGAGTTGCAGTAACGCTGGTCACATGATGTCATTACAAAGTGTGTCTAAATGCTGATCCAGTGTGTGACGCTCACCTCTCTGTCTTTGTGTGTGCTGCTGTGCTCAGGTGTGACAACGGTGCTTACCATGACAACAATTAACACCCACCTTAGGGAGACTCTCCCAAAGATTCCGTATGTGAAAGCCATCGACGTCTACCTCATGGGCTGTTTTGTGTTTGTGTTCCTGGCCCTGCTCGAATATGCCTTTGTAAATTACGTGTTCTTTGGCCGGGGCCCTGCGCAACAGAAGAAAATCAACGAGAGGCTGAACAAAGCCAACAACGAGCGCACAAGATACGAAGAGAAGCGCCTGAGGGAACAGGTTTGCATCTTCATCTCCTGCTTTCTCTCCGTGTCAGTCAGGGTTCAAGTACAAAACAGCTGTGTTCTGCTCATAAGTTTCCCAGGCATTTAATCCTCAGACACATATGCAGCATTCCCTGAAGTCATCTTCCAGAAGCATACTGATGCCACCACAGCCCAATATGTATTCACCAACCATCATCCATTGCTTTATACCTCAAGCACTGACTGCTTTTTATCCAGCATAGCCCTTTTCATTGAGATAGCTATTCATCTAGCTCGACAGTGGTGTAAACATTCCCATTCCCTACTTAGGTTGTTGTCTCTGTATAGCTGTGGGCTTCATTCATTCTGCTACCTTGTATGTTAACATTTAAAACTAAAATGGGCTAAAAAAACACAGAATGAGCATTGGATTTTAATATGGCAGATGCTGAAGTTGTCAGACTGAATGAAGCCCACCCCTCCCTGTTGTTGTGTAAATGCTTATTCAAAGTTGTTTACTGTAAACGTTATGTCTATATGCAAAGTGTAATTTTGAGAAATATGTGCTTCTTTGCCGGACTTTTATAGCCTTTTTTAATGTTCTCTTCATTTTTTCTTTCACATTGCAAGGACTCCATTTCCGCGTCGTATCAAACCAACACCTTCAGGTCATTTACACAGCGAAGAAATCTGTATCTCGAGGAACAAAGAAAAGTTGGGGTACATGTATTTAGAAATCATATCAGCTGTAGTCCAGCCCTCACAGTAAAGTCAGAATGTCACTTTGTTGTGAAAAGTCACTAATGGATAAACTATTTGCTAACTATTTCTGTGGCATGCAAAAAATCCATACCATCCCTGTATTTTGACAGCTAAATTAAATTAATTATTAAGGGGGGTTTTGGGGGGCTACTGCTCGACACTTCCCCTTGCTGACTTTGTTTCCCGTGTCCTGGCAGGTGGATGCTTATGGAAACATCCTCCTCACCACGCTGGAGATGAACAACGAAGTGATGCCTTCGGACGTGGGGAGCAGCGTCAGTGACTCTCGGAACTCCGTCATGTCCTTCGACAGCTCCGGGGTCCAATTCAGGAAGCCCATGACTCCCCGAGACGGCTTCAGCCACCACTCGCTGGACCGGAGCGCCATGCGTAACCGTGCCAACTGCCGGCTACGACGACGATCCTCCAAGCTCAAGTTGAAAATCCCAAACCTGTCAGATGTTAGCACCATTGACAAGTGGTCCCGGGTCATTTTCCCAATCACCTTTGGATTTTTCAACCTAATCTACTGGTTGTACTATGTGAATTGACGTGCATCCCACTAGGAATCATGGGCCATATTTTGAGAGCACATTAAATTGGCTTTGATACAGTTCCAAAATATGTATACACATATACAAGTTGAACATATGTATATGCATATTTATATATATTATATTTATATATACATGTGTGAAATCCGAAGGACCTTTCTGCTGTACAAAGTATTAATAGGATGACTTGAATGTTTAAGAGTAATTGTGAGAGAAGAATTTCAAGGCTTTGAGTTTCTTTTTGCTCCCGGAAGAAACAAACAAACACACAAACACGAGATCCCACCCGGGGTTTTTGGAACTAAAGACTGCATGATATTTTTGCTAAAAAAAACAACCAACAACAACCACAAGAAAAAAGAGAAAGTGAAACTCTTGAGAGGGGAAAGATGTCTCAGAGTCCCATTGACTTTTTATTGATACTTATTGTAATCAGAAATCCTCGACTGCAGCTCTTGAGATCAGTGGTGGCTCGTCTGTTCAGGCATCAGCTGAGTGAGATCCTTGACAACCCCCCCCCCCCCCTCACCCCAGCCGCCTCCACACCACCCCTACCCTACACGACCCCACCCATCGCCCATGGATAACATGCACGGAAAATCTCCGGTTCTACTATGTACAGCAACCTTGTTTGGATTATGTGTTGTTCCTTGGGTTTTTTGAAGTGGTATCGTTCTCTTTATCAGACATCCGGCCTAACGGGCTCCAGAGATGGGATGACCGACCGCCGCGTTCCCCCACCCCCCAGAGTCAACACAAACTTGTGTTCCTTTCTCTTCTCATGTTATTTTTATCACGTCTTTTGGGTATCGGGAGGGGGCGGGTCTTTTTCATTATGGTTGAAAACAAGTGCTGATTATTGTAGATATGATTTTGTCTTGAAAAATACTGTGATTTCAGAGAGTGTCGGAACATGTTCTAGAGCTAGGGCATTATAAGATAAAAGAGTCAAAGGTATGCATTACTCATTTTGATTGTGTGAAGAAGAAATATTCTATACATTTTAATCATTCGGTATTCTCATGAAGGTGTGCTGTTTATTTCCTCCTATTGACTGGTTCTCGTGCTCTTTAGAAGCAGAGTCCATCGACGTCATATCCTGCTTTGTGTTTGCTAAAAAAGAAATGGGAGGATTGCTTTTGCGGTTCCTTTGGAAAATGGTTCCACAGCAGAGATGTAAGGACATGTATATTTAAAAAAAAAAAAAAAAAAAAAAAAAAAAAGAGTCAACATATCAGCCCGCAGTTTGACCAGTTGTCATTCAGTATTTCTTTGTTATTCGTTTGTTTTGCATTCGTGTTGGAGTCGCAGTTCGTGAAGGCAAGATTATTTATTTGCGATAGTGATGGGCAGCCCGGGCAGAATATGTATGAGGAGAAGGATCCAACATTTCAATCTCGATCAGTGCCATCACAAATATGTTCCGAACCCCCGAGGATCAGAAGCATCAGCCTCCTCGGGAATGATGCGGTGATTCTCGGGGAGAAAATGTGATTAATAGCCATGAACTGAAATAACAACCAAAAGGCCTATAATCATATGGTTTCTTTCTCAAACACATAAAAACACACACTGCATTTCCAGTGCTCAGGGTCATTTGCAACAGAACAAAACAACTCCTATAGGATCTTTATTTATTTTTTAACCACATGTTTTAAGGTTTTGGAAACCAGCCACCAACGAAAAGTGAAGGAAATTAGATTGTTCCTGTGAATCCTTAATGTTACTTTAATTAGCTAAGCTCAATCATCTTTAAATAAATTCTTTATTGGTATTAAAATGTCCAAAATCAATCTTTCAAAAGTCTTAAAAATGCTAAAACATAGGAAACGTTATGAATTCTTTATTTCGGACGTTGCTTTATTAAATAGTGGTTGGTATCGTCATTTTTCTTTTTTAATAATTTACCAAATGACTCTCACATTACCGTTTCATAAATCTGGATAAAAAGTCCTTAATCTAACATGCCTTAAGTAGTCAGAAGCCTGAATTTAGATGAGGTCAGAGAAGTAGTAAACTGTGGATATTGTAGGGGGAAAACACATTTGAATATCCTCCAAAGACTGTTTAGCTTCAGCAGAAGTGCAGATCAGACAAATCTAACATTGGGTCGCGTAGCATACAAAAAAAAAAAAAGTGACTGGCTGATTAGAATACGCTGCAGTGTACCTGAGTAATACAAATGGGAAAAAGAAAGCGAAATGTTCATACAGACACAAACACACAGGGACAAGAGGAAGATGGAATGGCTGCAGAGTCATTTATCCCGAGAAATATCCACTCCCCTCTGGAGCGCAGTGTGCATACGGTCTGCAGAAAGGAATACTGATCAGAAAGCAATTTGTCTCCGTGAGTCAGAGTGACGTTTGTACAGTGACGTGGCCTGAGCTGTGATTCCAGTCTGGTTTTTATATTTGTTTTGAATTTGAAATATTGTTGTCATTGTACTGAACGTGAAAAGAGAAAGAAAAAAAAGATCCCCTTTAAGTATCCAGTAATCCACAAAAATATGGAGGAAGATGAGGACGAGGGTAACATACTGAGCTGAGTGTTTTGTTTCTGTCTGCAGCTGAACAATCTGTTTGTCTCTCCAGTCAACTGTGAGGTCCAAAGGATTAGACCAAAACATAGTGATGAGTCTTAAATGTGAAGAGAGTTAATTTATTGTTATTTATGAGAAGGCTGTGCCGCAATGGACTAAATTCGCAGTTTATATTGTGTTATATAAAGAGTACATATTGAGTATTACACTGTGGTAAGAGTAAAGGCCGAAATTGCAGCATATGTGCACAAATTCTTTAAAAGTTGCCAAATGGAAGTGAGGCAATATTATAATGCAATGAACTTGAAAACAGTAGCATCAGTTGTTTCCACATGCTAGTAGCGGCTAATGTAGCCTCGAGACGCTAGCCTTAAGGAGAAGTGAGGAGCGCCCTGCTCAGCTCACGTCTTTCTTACTCCACCCCCCCTCAGATTTGTTTAATCCTCAAATTTCTAGTCTTCAGACCAAGCTTACTCAAGTGACTTCACTTGAGCCAATTTATTCGACAACACAAAACTCTCTGGAGCCAGAAAAGGCTACTTTCCCCCCCACATATACAGTAGTTCTTCCCAAACCTGTAAAGCAGACTTGAAATTGGTGTGGCGAATTGGCAAATGTCCCCTTTAACTTACAAGACACATTCCTAAGATCTGCATGCTGCAATTCTAACTTCTCATTTGAAATGATGCAATTACTACATAGATTTGCCAATTGGTTTTTGCAATAAGATAAAGAGCAGATCCTTATTGTGTTCCCCGCAGAGTATATAACTCCCATGGTTGGTTCAAGGGTACACTCATGTTTCAGGTTACCTTGACCTTAAGAAATACAAATATGAAAGGTGGTAATAGTTAGTTGAATGAATGCAAGTTCATTCCAATAATTCCCTTTACAAAGTGTTTTTTTTTGCATCATTTCATCCGGGGGATCACACTAACAGCTTGTCAAACTGTTCAAAGGCAATATGATGGATCTTTATTGAAAGTGTGAGGATACTCTTTTTCCAGTGCAAGCAAATATTGTTGGAAAAAAAAAATATGGGACCTAAGTAAACAATGTAAGTGTTATTCTAAGTAAATCAATAGAACGTGTTTAACCAGAGAGAAGCCTTTTCCTACTCTTTGGTCTCAACTTGACCTTACATTTTGTAACACAAACTAACTGTTAGATTCTTATTCAGGTCAGATAATTCCCAGAAATGAATACAAACATGCCTATTCAGGTGTTATCTTCTTTTGAGAGATATTTGATGCATATCTTTATTAAACTCTGAACGCTTACAGAGGAGAAACCTTAGCAGCCCTTGCATGCTCGCAAAATCTACTCAGCACTCATCTCACTCAGAACATGTTTAACCTGCTTTCTGGACATGAAATCAGCACATCCATCCCAAAAGCTGTGAGGATCTTCTTTTCTATGCTTTCACTTTAGGATATTTGCTTATACAAGAGAGAAGATACATTCCTTTTGACACATATGTTTGAGGAGTAGAGGAGGAGAAAAAAAAAGTGTTGAACTGATTTCAATGTGAATTTTCTTGCCTCTAGTGTATATGTGTAATTACATGTGAATTGTACTGTAAATATGATATCTTTCACTTAATAGTTCTTAATGCATGAACAAAAACATGGCAGTTCGTAATACCAGCTAGCCTCACTGCTAATGGCATGGACCGCTTCTCTAGCATTGGCATACTTCTGCAAACGAAACCTAAAAAATGAAACACAAGAAATACATGGTGTGAACAGAATAATGGAGAAATCAATGCAAAGTCCTCTCACAGTGACGGAGTTTCTGGTGGCTCTGAGCTTGTATTGGTTCACCTGCTCCATCGAGAACGAGGCTAGCGCTGCTAACGATTTCCTGGAAATTGCAGCAGGCCTTGGTTCACTGTCAGCGAACGGGACGGTGCCATCTTGAATGAAATTCTCTAGGTGGGCTTTCCCATTAAATACGCCCGAATTTAAAAGTTGGGTTAGATTTCAGCACAGTATACCTGCAGTGTTTACCTCAGACATCAACAAGTCACCCAATTGTCCGGGAGTCTATGAAAAAAATATTAAGGGTATGATAGGCTAGCTGGCTTATAGAGGCTAGAGGAGCAGGATGGCCTTAAGAAGGCGAGTGGGATGTTCTTTCCTGCTCCTCAATAAGACAGTCACATGTGCCCTTGAGCAAGGCACTTGGCCAAATGCCCAAGTGCAGCTGCTCACTTGCTAACAATAGAAGTTTATGTCTGTGCGGTGTAGCTCCTGGGAGTAAATACGTTTAGCAATGTGAGGGAATTGCCCTCTGAATACTAACGTAGTTCCACTAATGCACCTTGGTTTGTTTGAGTAACTCAAGCCCAGTATTGTCATGGTATAATTACAAGCTAGGACCTTTATGCTAAAAGTTATGAATCATGACCGTTTTTGTTGACTCCAGTCTTCTGTTAGGGCATTTCATCTATGATTACACCCCTCCCAGATAAAAGCAATGCATGTTAGCCTAAAACTGAGCCCCTAATAAAAGAACAGACCACGAACGCACAAGAAAATTTCATCCACCAAACACCAGAACAAGGCTGACAGACTCCTCACTGTTAGAAGAACTTTTGCTGGTGCATTCATTATTTTGTACGTACCTTGTAGGTTTTGTTTTGCATGACCTGAGTTTTGAAAGGTTTATTTTCATATCTTTTTACTCCGCACCATCCGAATTCATCCCCACAGCCAGGAAAAAGAAACATCCAGTGTTTACATGCTCAAATTGCACTTGTTTTACAGTCCGCTCTTTAAATCTTGTGAAACAAAACTGTTCGTAAAACTGGAGGGAAAATAAAAACGTACATGGTGTGACCCGTGCGAATCGCAGACATGTACTTCTAGACGATGTATTTACTGTAAAGCACACAATTTGGAATAGATGCACCGAGTGCATGCTGTAGTTTTATCAGGTTCAGCATAAGCATTAACAT